ACACGGTCATGACCTCCTGATTGCACAGAGAGAGAGAGGCTTTCTGGTCTCTCTCTGTTTGAACGTGGCCGGACTGTTGAGCTGCCGAAGGCCTCGCACCGTCGTTGCAGAGGCTGGATGCAGTCAGACGCTCAGTTTACATTTCTTAAAAGATCCTGAGGGTTACGGGACCAAAAAGTCAAGTGGTAGACCCACTACCACTGCAATGTCACCTGCACTGGGACGGGACGGGGTGCGCCAATGAAGGAAGAAGCATCCCAGATCATGACAGAGCCTCCTCCACTGTGCCGCGTAGAAAAATATGTATTGCCAAGAAGCATTGTTTAAACAAGGAAATAATCTACCAAACGCAGATTTCCTTACTTTTTCTGTTAAGTTCATGTATATATGTATATATAATATGAGTTTAATACGATCATTTTTAAACAGAACACTGACTGTAGCTCCTCTCTGAATCCTCTATCGAGCTGGATTTAGTGTTTAAATACTCTGTGAACTCTTACGCAATCCCCACCTCTCAGATATAGATTTAAAGATAGAGATATATTGATATAGCTCTCTGTCCTGTCAACCCTTACCATTTGCAGATTGATTTTCTAGCGGCTTCTTTTAGACAAAGGATATTTTGTGCATAAGGGCTTCCAGCATTTCATTGTATAATTAGAAACGTTATATTAATCAAATCACTGGTATTCACTTGACTTGAGTCTACATGTTCTTACTGTATTGTTTAGATATACTTACGTTATCATGTGAAACATTTTGAATATGAGGGGATAGAGACAAAGTGTGAGCAAATTGGTGTAAAACATCTGAGTTTTATTTCAAAGCAGAATTATGAGAACCACAGTTTTTTTAGTAAACTAACTGTATCAGAAACTACAGAGGCCAGGAAAACTGTTATATTTGTACATAGAAAGTAAAAACATTAGTAAACAAAGAACCATCATGGCAAACTGTACGGACTTATGATCTAATCTATAAAGAAAGTGATCTGTTGAAGGGACACTGGAACGAAAGGGAACAGCACTCCACTCACACTTATGTTTTTTTTCCTCTTTAACCAAGACAGACTCCACATCAAACTCTGCCTGTCCTCTCTAAACCTGCAACAAACAACAGTTAGAAAACAAACCACAACCAGCGTCCTCACTTGGCGTCCAGCTTGGCCATTTCCTGAAGATATATTCCGATGCTCTCGCTGTCAAACAGAACAAAGTAAATGTTTTTCAGAGAGGAGCTGGTGGACGACACAAAATGGTTGGAGATGGCCTTGAGGATGAGCTGGGCGGCCATTTGTTTTGGGAATCCGTTCCTGTGAGACACAGACAGGGTGTGAAGACCCAAGTATACAAAGTAAAGTAAGAATATTCTATAGTAGAGTTATCCTGTGAAGTGACATATGAGCAGATTACTTTTCTTACTTTAAGTACATTTACCTGATAATACTTCTCTACTTCTACTCAAGTAACATTTTCATTTCGACTAATAATTAGGTATTTCAATAGCATAGTATTTCTGCTTTTACTTAAGTAAAGAGTTTGAGTACTTCTTCTGCCTCTGGTAATACTCCAACTTCAGGAAAGTCGTGTCAGGTGTTACACACGGACCGTAAACACTGGACAGATGAGCTTCGAGAGCCTGCATGTTTCTGATTGCCCAGCACAACGCCTTCACCGATGACATCATTATTTTTGTGGTAAAATCTCAGCCTTTGTTTATCCTTGTTGCCGGGTGATGCTACATAAGCCCCTGCTGAGCCCTAGCTGACAGTAAGTGATGAAAATCAGGTCAGAGGTCAGTTCTGCTGCCGGTATGAAACCCTCAGTGATACAGTGTGTAACCTGATGCCTTCATCCGTCGCTCTCTCACTCTGTCTTCAGGTTATCACTAGGTGTAGGGATGTAACCATACACTCAACTCACGATTCGATACGATTCACGATTTGAAGTTCACGATACGATTTTCTCACGTTTTTGTTTTTTTAACAGAATGAGCAGCGGACAAATGACTGAAAAATATTTCTGTATATAAACTGTACAAAACAACGTACATGTTCTCATCAAAATTGCAACTGTAAACTGTAAACTGTGCAACTCTATTTTATCTTAAATAACAAAAAGATACATAATTGGATTTTGAAAACAAATCCCACATCAAAATGACTCCATCAAAAGAAAAAGAAATAAAGTGCAGCTTGAAATGTATGCTCTGCCCGATCATGTGCTTTAACGGCACATTGAGTGACACGGTTGGATTTTTTTCGTCACTCAGCACGGTGGTGGCTGTTTTGAGTGGTTTGAGAAGTTTCACAATGTCCTCGGCAGGGGTGTAGTGCTATTTTTACAAGTACCGGAGCCTGGTCAGTGTTACAGGTTGCCCCCTAACCCTAACCCCCAGAACCGTCCCTGCTGTCGCCCGCTCGCGCAAACACACAGAGCCGAACTTGAATGAAACACAGAGACCCATACGTACTTGTACTGACACTGTACTGTATCATATTATTTTCAATGGTTTTATTGTATGATCATTATGACAGTTCGCCACTGGGCTTCCAACTAAAGACACAGCCACGCAAAAACTGCGGCATGTGTACAGCTCTTTATGGGTACACCCCTGGTCCTCGGCATCACGGATGTCCGAGTTATCCAGTGAGTAGATTTCACGGGCATTTCGTTGGACGTCTGCACTGAGGAGCAGCTGCCACGGCAAGTTGTTGTTCTAGATAGCGTTCAATCATGTCCAGACAGCTCTTCCAGCTAATCAAATCAAATCAAAATTAGTGCACGCCCTGTGCTGTTAAAAAAATGGCATCGCGATACATTTTTAGCTCAACCGATTTTAATCTTAACGCATCTGTACCGATTTTTAACCGGTTCACGATGCATCGTTACATCCCTACTAAGGTGTGTAAGAGAACAATTGTGTGTGGGCTGCTGCAGACCACGTCACCGTCACCCTGTCCGGTGACCCTACCGTCGGCGAAGTAGTAGGTGACATTTGCAGGGAGTCACCCCGAGGCTGTTCACACTCCTGGTCGACCTCTTCTGGCCACTTCTTGACAGAAGACGCGGCTCCTGTTCTTCGAGTTCAGACACCGAAGGGGAGTGAAGGACGACCTTCGCACTCGTGGGAGTGGTTGTTGTGTCGAGTCTAGGAGAGTGACTCTGAAATCTTTACTAACCGCTAGGCGTCAGGACACGTGAAGTGAGTCGTCCATTGATATCATTGTGCCTCGTGAGTTGTACCGGTGGGACGTCAGGACTACTACATTCTTGTGTCGTCGAGTTACAATTTGTATGTTTATTTACTTGTGCGTGTAGACTCGTTTGTCCTTCTCTCAGGGTTGAGGTGTAGTCTCTGACGACACCTCCGGAAAACTGGA